TTAGATGAAAATGACCTTGATTAGGAACAATCAACACATTTAACTCACTCTTGCACAATTAAGCATGTTAATTATCCTACTAAACTAATTCACTCTCGTGCAACTAGCCTAGCAAAGGTATGGAAGAAATTAGGGCTCTCAACCAACTCACTCTCGCACAATCGATTGAAAGCACAATTAAGAACATAGAATCAATTAGCTAGAAAGATTCTAATCCATAAAAGCATCATCCATACACAATAATCAAGAAACAATTACATACTAATCACAATAAATCATTCAATTTATTAACATAACCTTCATCCATTTCCCTAGAACAAAATCTAAGCTAACATAATGAAGAAAGACATGGAAAACAAGATAAAATAAGAATAAAAAAAGATTAAATAAATAAACTAATTAATCTACTCAAATCAACCAAAAAAAATCAAAAACTAAGAATTTAAGCAAAGAAATAAAGATGAGAGAAAGTTAGAAAATGATCATTGAATAGATGAGAATAAATTCCACAAAGTTGTTTCTTCAACCTCTCAAAAACTCTATAGAAATCCAAGCTTTCTCTCTCTACACTACTCCTAAAACTAACCCTAAGAGGGAGAAAATAAAAGCTAAACTAATCTAATCTCCCTAAAATAAAATGTTGATTGAAAGTTAAGAGAAAATAACCCCAAGGGGGTATTTATAATACAAGTTAAATAAAAAATAAAATAAAAAGAAAGAAACTAAAAAGAAATAAAACAAAATAAAACAAATAAATTAACTAAACTAAAAACCAATAAAAACAAAACTACAATCAAATAAAATAAAAGAAAATGAAAAGAAAAAAGAAAATCGCAAAATTCCCACCCAAACCCACGAAAACATCAGACCCCCTCTTCTTCTCCCTTTCGAATTGGCTGCTTTCAATTCAAACACCATTCACGCATCATCATCACCGTTCATACTCCATCATCATCAAGCATCATCACATCGCAGCCGTCCGATTTTCATTAAAAATCTCGTGAAAAGCTCGTGATTGACCCACAATTGGGCGCCCGCAAAGAAGTCGCGCAAAGCTACTGCCTCGAATATGATTTTGGATTCCAATTACGCGCTTTCTGACAGCGCTGCGCGGCCGCGGTAGTCTGGGTTGGGCGAATTTGGAGGTTCGATTGAAGCGGCTTCTCTGATTGGTGGGTGGTGTTTTTGTGGGTTTGGTTGAAGGTGGTGAATGGAGATAAATTTGAGGTGAGTTGGAGGTGAGGTGGTGAATTGGTTGCTGATTGTTGTTGTTTCGAGTGGAAACAGGGGAAGGGCGTGGTTCAGGTGGTTTGGTGAATTGAGGTTGGTGGTTGCGTGGCTGTGGAGGATGTTGGTGTTGTTTGGTGATGTTGGTGGTATTGGTTTGGTTGTAGCTGAAAGTGGTGCTGGTTTGGTTGTGGCTGAAGGTGGTTGATTGTGACGGTTTATGGGAGCAGGGCAGTAGGTTGAGTTGTGGTGTAGAAGTGGTGGAGCAGGTGGTTGTTGATGATGTGCGGTGAAGGTGGTGGTGATTGTTGGCGATTTTGGTGTTGTTGGGATGATTGGAGTTGCGTGGTTGAGCAAGGGCTGCTGTTGTTGCGGTTCGTGGGCTGGTAACGGGGCTGAATTGGGTGTGGATTGGTGGTGGTTGATTGGTGATTGTTTGGTGTGTGGAAGAGGTGTGGGTGTGAGAAGGAGGAGCAGGGGAATCGTGTTTGATATTGAATTCGAGACTCCCTTTGTGACTCAAAACTTGAGACACGAATATTGAACCTCGAACCTTGGACTTCCGAGCACAATCCTACACAAACCAAGAAAAACGAGAGAAATAGGGACAAAACTAAAATAAAATAAAGTAAAATAAAACAAGATAAATAAAGTAAAATAAAATGCTAAAACTAAAGAAATAATAAAATAAATAAAAATAAAACAAACTAAAAACTAAAAGAAAATAAATAAAATGAGAGAAGCGGGAAATTATTAACTAAAACTACAAAAATAAACTGCAAAAATACTCAAAATAAAAATAAAAGACGAGAATAAGCGAAAAATAGAAATAAAGGATAAATAGGGTTAAATTATTAGAAAATAAGCCGGAAAACGACTTAATAAACACCCTAAAAGTGACATAAAAGTCACTTATCAAACATTTATTTTGTTTTCGGTTTATGAACCACTAATATTTTAAATATTTAACTCTAAACACATATACCAAATTAGATCTTTGAGCATGTTATATGTTTCCTATGAACATTTGAGTTAGAAGCATTAATAACTAATAAATATAAAGAAGTTTGGAAATTACATAGGGAGTGGGGCCGATGGAAGGGCCTCCACCAGGTTTCCATACATGTCATTTGGGAGTTAGAAGCAAGTCTACACATAGTTGGGACAGCGGAGGTCGGCAGGCGATAATCATGTGCGATGGTTCGTGGCACAAACAAACAGGGATTGGTGGCTTTGGATGGCCCTTTGCGACTAATGGAAGAGACTATGAGAAAGGGGGAGGTGGTTTTTGCAAGGCTAGTTCGGCTTTGCAAACTGAGCTCATTGCTTGTCTAGGGGGTAGTTGTTGGGAGGTCCTAAAGGGTTTCGGTGACATCTGGGTCTATACTGACTCATGTGAAGTGGTTAACTTGATTCAAAACCCAAACAGGGAGGACATGCGCTACTATTGGACTCTTCAAGAATTAAGAGAACAGGGGAGCTTTTTACAAAGTTGTGTGATTTGGAAGGTGAGCAGGGAACAGGTCCTGAAAGCACATGATTTGGCAAACGAGTGCAGGACTAGTATAATTAGCTTTAGTGCTTAAGTTTTGTTCTTTGGTTTTTTAGTTTGCTCTTGTCAAAAAAGAAAAAAAAATTAAAAAAAAAAAAGAACATTTGAGTTTGATATTTGAACATTATAATTAGGTTAATTTTTAAATTACCACCAAAAATGTAACCATTTTCGAACTAACCACCCATTTAAATTTTATTTTAAATTATCACCCCTTAAATTAAATTAATACTCAGGTTACTACCCATTTCGAAAATCCGGTGGATGGTCCGTAGGCACTACCTAATTCTTATTTTGACCCTTTTGAGTGATTTTTTCCCCGATTTTTCTCTTTGAAAACGCTCTCTATACTTTAATTCATATTTCCTTCACCAAATTCTACCAAATTTCAATGAGAAAAATGTGAATTGAAGTTAGGAGAGCGTTTTTAAAGAGAAAAATCAGGGAAAAATCAGTCAAAAGGGTCAAAATAAACGTTAGGTGAGGCCCACAGACAAAAAAATCCACCGGATTTTTGAAATAGGTGGTAATCTGAGCATTTATATAATTTAAGGGGTGGTAATTTAAAATAAAAAATTAAACAGGTGGTTAGTTCGAAAATGGTTACATATTTTGGTGGTAATTTAAAAATTTTCCTTATAATTATATATTTGAACATATATATTAGGTTTCTTGCTTAGAACATTTATATTTGAACATGATAGTTTACTTTTATGAACACGATACAATTTTTAATAGAAAAAAATGTATATAATGCTTTGGCCGATAAATAATGTACCATTTATTATATTTATGTAAACTTTTAATTTAAATATGAACATTTTGTTTTTTTGTTTGAAAGAGAACATTTTGTTATTTGAAATGAACATAATGTTAAAACATGAAAGAATGAAAAAAAAATCTTTACCCACACATTATATAGAATATTAACATGAGTAATATTAAATATGAACATGAGTAATAATAAAAATGAACATGATCATAATAAACATGAACATTCAACAAATGAATTAGGAAACACTAACAAACTAAATATACTTATCCAAAAAAGAACTATTTATTTAACCCATTTTCAATTAAAAAAAAAAAAATCAATCTTCGAAAATGTATTATGCTATTACTGTATTACATATATAAACTCATATTCTTTTTTTCTAATACAGTAGATACAAACTTTCCGAAATCTCCTTGATTATACATCCCTTCATATTTCTTCATAATGGACCATTGATTCGCGATGTGTGAGATTGATCTCTTCTGTTGATGATGATGAATGGATAATGAAACAATGGAGGGACAATGATGCTTTATCACTCTCCCCTACATTACTTCGACCCTATGGCTTATTCCCGTCAATTTTGCAGGACTAACACAAAAATTACAAAGTTATAATCTTAGAATTATTTTATAAGCAAGTGGTAAATTAACATAATAAAATACTGACTTAATGAACATTTAGTTTTAAAAAATGAACAAAAAAAATCATGAAAATAAATTTTTGGTCATTTATTATATTGAAAATGAACATGAGTAAAATTTATCTGAATATTGAGCTATAATTTTTTAACATAATTATTTTGAACAAAATTCAAGATGAAAGAAAATAAACCTTTGACCATGTAGTATACTTCCTCCGTTTTTAATTATTTCACCATAGGGTTTAAGTACAAATATTTTGGTAGTGGAAAAAAGTAAGAGAGAGAAAGATAAAATACAAAATTGCCCATGTGACATATCTATACTAATATATTAAAAGGTGTTACTAAGAACGTCTCTGTGCCACGTAAACCACGCCACGTCACCTTCTCCATCTCTTATTATGGCACATCATCACTACTCAATCAACTAGAAATATTGCTCCATATAAAAAAACGATGATAAGGGGATTCGAACACCCAACCTTTTATAAAAAAGATAGTTACTTAACCATCTAAGACAATCATAAACTATGTTATAAACATGAAAATAAATGTATATAATTGATAATCACAAGGTCTAATTAAAGTAGCAACCGGTGAAACGCTCGGGCTATACACTAGTTGATAAATTTAAAAGTAAGTATGAAAAAGCAAGGGTTTGTTGAGCATTTGTAGTGTGAACACAAATAATTTTTTTCCTAAATAAGAAATGGTGCAATATTTGTGAAACTTTTTTTTTTTTTGACAGGGAGCAAAATCATTCATTCATAATAAGAGTATCCATAAGTACATAAGGAGAGACCTCATCCGGAACTCTTATTTCCCAAATTTGTTCTACATTGAAAGGAATAAAACGTGCAAGGTTGTGAGCCACTTCGTTCCCCCCCACGTCGGACATGAGACCAAGCAACTTGCTCAAATGTTGTACCAAGCCTTATGGCGTCACAAAGGATGGCATCAAGGTCAGTCAAATGCGAGGCCCCCTTTGACAGCCTATTGGTGACAATTTGACAGTCTGTTTCAATTATCACCCTTGAGTAACCAAACCTTTTCCCAAGTTTCAGAGCTAGAATGATAGCCTTTGATTCTGCAATTTCAATCTGCCACCATGCTTTCCATCTCCTGCATGCAGATAATAACACATTGCCAAAGTTGTCACGAGCCACCCACCCTTCATCAGTCAGAGATGCGTCAGAGTTTATTTTCACCCACCCAGGAAGAGGGGGAATCCAAACCTTCGAGCTACTACAGGGGGCAACAGCAGGGGTCGAATAAATCGCTTTATTATACTTCTCGTTCTCCTCCTTCCATCTTTGTACTCTGGCAATTAACACTGAGTTTGGGGTGCTTTTCCCCTGAAAAACTCTCACATTTCGGTCCAGCCAGATTCCCCACATAAGATAAATACCGAGCACTTTCTTCTCAGCTCGAATATCCCTCCAGCTTTCTATCAAGTTGCAAGCCGAGTCCATCTTATCAAATTTCAGCAACTCACTGCATTCGAGCTCTGACCATAATTCCTTCACTCTGTCACAATTAAAGAAAGCATGTTTCCATGTCTCTTCCTCCCTCTCGCACCACGGGCACAGGGCATCCTCTGTCAAGTGGCGAAATTTCAAAAGACTTCTGACAGGCAGTGTTTCAGTGCAGAATCTCCACAGGAAGTTTCGAGCTTTAGGACGGACATTAAATTTCCATATATCCAGGCATTATGATAAGTGTCAAGATCACACCCTTTCCCAATCATGTGGGCTGATTTCACATCATACTCACCATTTTTCGAGGAGGCCCAAGTTATTTCATCCTTTAAATTGCTCTCTTTCAACGAAATTGACAAAATGCATCGCATGTCTCTGTCATTGAAATTTTCTCGGATGATATCCATGTCCAGTCCCCAGTCTCGGTGATGAGCTCACAGACCCTTGACAAGCCGTCGGTCTGATTACTTGTAGCAAAACGGCCTCCATCATCCACTAGCCACGGATCAAACCACACCTTTATATCGTGGCCATTACCTACCCTCCAAATTAGTCCCTCCTTAACAAGAGCTTTCGAGCTCCAAATACTTCGCCACGAAAAGCTTCCCCTTTGGCCAAGAAACGAATCCAGGAAATCGCAATGAGGATAATACTTTGCTTTCATCACTCGCAGGCCCGTATCTGACCCAGGGCAGCCGGGGCAACCGCCCAGGGCCCACGGATGGGGAGGGCCCATTTTTTAGCTTTTAAGTTCAGTAAAATTATCGTTATATTAAATTTGTTATCATGTTTGTTTGTGTAGCTTGGCGGTTAGGGTAAATAGTTAAGGTAAAAGTTTGTTTATTGATCTACAGTTCGATTACCATTAGCCACATTTTGCTCTTTTTTTTCCCTTCCTTAAAATACTATATATTGATGTATACAACTATATATAAACCACTTTTTAAAAACTATATATAAACCACTTTATGTAACCATCTTTCTTTTTTTTTTTAAGGAACTTTTTATTTCTTTGTTTATTTATAATTGTAGCCTAAATTCTTGTTCTTTTTCATTTAACTATTTTTGTAAAATTATAATTACAGCTTAAATTCTTGTTTCTATTATCTTTGCTATTATAATAAAATATGTCAAAAAATAAAATAAAATAAAATATAATGGTTATAGATTATGAACAAGATCAATTTCATTCGCAAGAGAGAATCGATCATAACGTTATGTCCTTATCATACCATATAGTTGTAGAAGTACATTATATTTTACCATTGTTGGCATTGTATATAGTTTAATTATTATAAGGGGTTTTTTTTAAACAATAGTCAAAACTAGATTATTTATTGAAAATGTTTTTTTTTTATTTTTTTAGAAAGATTATTTGTTCAAATTAAAGTAATAATGAAAAAAAAATTCTCCAATATTAAAAAAAAAAATTACATAAAGTAGGGTCCAATTTATTTTTTCGCCCTTGGCCCCCAAAACCTCAGAAACGGCCCTGATCACTTGACTAAGGAGAGAAGTGGGGTTGCGGATAAGTCTCCAAGCCTGCTTGCCCAATAGAGTATCATTAAAGACCGATAAGTCACGAAAACCCATGCCACCGAGGCACTTCAAAGTGCAAAGATACTCCCAACTCTTCCAATGGATGCGCCTTTTTGCTTCATTGTGCCCCCACCAAAATTTGGCCATAGCCGAATGGATTTTTTGAATGACCTCACCCGGGAACTTGTACACCCCCATCAAATAAGTGGGAATATTCTGAATGACTGCTTTCAAGAGAACTTCCTTTCCGACTTGAGATAGCAATTTTTCTTTCTAACCGTGCAGTTTTTTCCAAATTCTATCAAGAACGGCCTCAAAGATACCTTTTTTTTATCTTCCCAAAATATAAGGAATCCCAAGGTATTTTTCATGCTTATCAACATGTCTCATATGTAAGATACTCAAGATTTCCTCCTTTTGCTCATCCCGTACTCCACCACTAAATGACACTTCCGATTTTTCATAATTGATTTTTTTGCCCCGAAGCTGCTTCATACTGGTTGAGAATGTCAACAATGATTGAGCACTCCGTTCGGTTTGCCCTAGTAAAGAGTAGGATGTCATCTGCAAAAAGGAGGTGAGAAACTCCTGGCCCATTCCTGCTTGCCTTAGCACCATGGATCTTACACTCCGACACCTTATTTTGGATCATATGGGAAAAAGCATATGCTACAATAATAAATAGATACGGGGATAATAATAAAAGAACGGAGAAAGTATTAAAATTGAACACGTAGACAACTAGACAATGAATGTGAACATCAAAGGACGCTTAATGAACAATGGCTATAATCTTTCAATCAATTTAGAAGTGAAATCATTAAAATAAACTTTTGGCCATTTATTATACCAAGTATTGGAAATGTACAGGAGTCCAATATATTTGGAGGTTAATTTATGAACATAAGTATTTTGGACCAAATTGAAGATGAATGAAAACTTTTAACCATGTACTACTCCTCCCTCCGTCCCCAATTGATAGTCACTTTTGATGAAAAATCATGGGAATTAAGGAGAATTAAAGAAAGTACATTGAAAAAGTTTTACATTGGATATGCAAAAAAGTAGATAGTGAAAGTAATTAAAGTACATGAGAAAGTAAAATTTACATGGGAAAATTAAATTTGCACAAATATTTTTGCAAATGTTAGATAATTTTGGTAAAAAAAAATAATATTTATGGTACTTGAAAAAAGCAAATGTGACTAACATTTTGAGTCACCAAAAATGACAAAAGTGACTATCAATCGGGGACGGAGGGATTATATTATAAATGAACATGAATACAATAAATGTGAACATCGAAGGACAATTAATGAAGAATGGGTAGATTATTTTAATCAATTTTGAAGCCAAATACAACATGTATAATAATAACATACAATCACTTTTAAATATCTTAATGCTTCACAAAAATAAATACAAGATGAGTATAAGTTTTGAACATTGATATACTTTTAAAAAAATCAAAAATTTTCTACATACAAAAAAAGGATATTAATCAATAATGGCATAATATGAATAAAGAAACAGAAAATTATATTTACTTTTAGAAATTGACAAGGAGATTCAATTAAAAAAAATCAAAACCACTTAGAGAATTAATTAATGGTTGAATATTATGAAATAAAAGACAAAATAATTATTTAATCTTACTTTTTTGGTGAGGATTCGTGTTGTGAGTTTACCTCTTCTCAAACATGAAATATTCATGGACGAAATTGCAAGTGAGGAGAGAGAAAATGGTAGAAAATGAAAATGGTGAAGATGGAACATGGAGCGATTGGAGCCAAACAAAACTCTGGTTATGGAGTTTAAGGAGAGAAAGTAATATGAGGTAATGAGTAGGAAGATTTAATTTCTTTCCACAAAATAAAACACATCTTTTGGGCCTAGTCCACCTTTGATTTGGGTGTTTATTTGGACGGATATAGTTTCTAGGCTTTGATTCGGTCTGGGCGCATAGCAGCTATATGCATGATATGCATATAGGAGGGCAAAAGCGGAATTATCTCATTTTTGCTGGAATAAAAAAACACATGATTTACACGTGACTCCGTTTGATTTTGAATTGTAACGGGCCTCGATCTTCGGAAAATTTAAAAGCTAAGTCAAATAGTTTTTTCTCTCTCTTCAACTCTCATTTTCATCTCCTCTCTCTCTTCACTTGGTTTTCACTTCTACTCCCTCTATCTTCTCATCTTCTCCACTCCGACGAAGGGTGAGCGTAGGGGGTTATGTGGAAAAATTTACCGACGTAGCGTAGCTTGGTTGTTTCGGACAAAGAATTTCCCAAGTTAGAATTAAATTGCGTTGTTCTTCTACAAGGTATGTGAAAAATTTTATTACTTGAATGACGAAGGATTATTTTGTAGATGTAATTTGAGTGTTTAATTTGGTAGAAATTTTATCAAATTGCGAGGTTATTAGTAAATTAGGGTTACGGTGAAGTTTAATTGATTCGATTTAGGGTTTATGTTAATTTTTTTGAAATCATGTATTTGTGCGGGTTTGTGTTGTTGAAATTTGGTTTTATATTGAAAGTAAGGTAATGTGCGACTTGAATTAATTGAATTATTTAAGTCGACTTGTGTTTTGGAGTTAGGGTATTTGGCAACTTGAAAGTACTGAGTTTATGCAACTGTGGGTAGTGATTGTGTGATATACTTATGTTGGGGTGTTGTATTATCAGTGTATCTTCGTTGGAATCTGAAAAATTTGTGCTTTGTTAAACATATGAAAGTTTTGTTTTGGTGAGGATTTGATATTGTTTAATGATATGGATAGTCCCTGTAATTGTAACCATTTTATTGTGTGCATGCTTGATTTAATGGATAAGTGAAAATCAGAGATTTAAGTAAGTAATGGAAGTACTCATTGATTTAATGGTTCACATGTAATCAGAATTGAATTTGGATATAGTATATGCTATGATTCTGTAATTGGTTAAGTTGTTTATTTTTGGAATTTCATTGATGGTGGTGGGTATTTGTTTTATATAGTGATTGATTCTAAAATAATTCATTTTACTAAGACAAAACAAGTATGAGAGTTTGGTAAAATATCCTAAGATTTTGGCAATTAGGTTTTGTGAAAAGTTTTGTCTTGGAAGGGGATTAGTATATTGTTTCATTATAAGAATACTCCTTGTAATTGAAATCATTATATTGGGTGCATACTAGCATAAATTTTTGTATACTTTGTGAAAATGAAAGATTGAACTAAGTAAGAGATATAGTGACTGATTTTTGCATGTATTGTTTGACTCTGGATATAGTATATGCTTAGCTTGTTGAATTGTTTAGGTTGGTTTGGTTAAAAAGAAGTTCATTAATCTTGTTTATGAGGACAATGTAGGTTTCAAAGAAATGAAGCGGAAGCATGGATCCGATATGGTGAAGGGAAAACCAGGAAAACATGATGGTGATGAGATATCTAAAAAGAAAAATATTGCGAAAGGGAAGAAGAAGCTGAAGTCTGATCCTGATTTTGAGCAAGAGGAATTAGAAGATACTGAGGATGAGGATACTGAAGAAGAAAGTGGTGATGGCACCTCAGGTGAGTCTGGTTCTGACTCAGGGAATGATGAGCAGCCTGAGTCAGATGAGGAGGAGGAGGATGATTAAAAAAAAAGAGTTGTTGGAGAATTTGCTTGCGAAGTTGTTGTCAGACAAAATATCAAGTGGAAAGCAGAAGGGGGGTCCTTCTAGTAAAAGCAAAGGGAAGCAGAAGCAAAAGGTATGGCTATCATTTTCCTTATAAGTTCAGCTTGCAATAGTGATATTGAGTATATCGAGGATTAAATGTTTGTAATGTTATGTTATGGGCAGGTAAAGAAGAGCAAGGGAGAGATGGTGGTCGAGAAAGG